CCAGTAGACCGGAGCTCAATTCTGACCTGGACTCGTGACCGATGAAGTCCCAAGGGACCAGCGTGATCTACAAGCCTCTTATATGGGCTATATCAGTCCAGCGAGGTAGAATCAATACGGATCAAGCCTTATCTACATAAGGACCACGTTTTTATCTCAGGAGCGACGGTTTGGCAGCGAAACAAACGACGCCAAACTCGGAGCGTGCCATGGAAGATAAACCAGACTTGTTATTGCCCCACGAAGACGCTGTCAAAACTGCCGAGTTGACCGAAGAGTTCCTGGTTACATGAGTCACTCGACTTACCAGGTCATACTAGGAAGCGTCCCGGCTGGGCTCCTAAGCTTACATCACGGATCTGTGCGTCTCGCGGAACGGTCGGCCCCCGCTGGGAGGGTGTTTCAATTTCGTTCTCTCGCGTCCTGGGAAAGGTCCGGTCAGAGACCCTCGAGTGACCGGTCCAGGCTGCAAGAAGCCACATCGCAAATGATGTGAACTGACGTTTGGTGTCTATTTCTAACTATATCAATGACAATCTAATTTTGTGACGTTAACCTTAATCGTACAACAAAAACAGCATCCTGCATGTAACTTGAGGAAGGCGAGACATAATTAGACAAAAAATCCTGGCAATGCCCGGTAGATAGTTTCTTTAACGGAGCCTAACCAGCAAGTGTGTTGATTTGTAATGCCCACTGTCAGCCAGTCTGTTGCCCTACATCAGTAGCGGCGCAGCCAGGACTACCCCGGAAAGGAAGCTAACAAAATATTTGACCTGCGGCTCCAGCTACCAGAGTGACGTAACACCAACGTATGCAAAAGGAACTAAGAAGGGATTGCGTAGTCACAATTTTCATTAAAATGGGAATACTAGGAGAAAAATAACTTTCACATTGCCTCACACTGTCATGGCTTGCACGACCGTTTGCTTAGCCAGTCACAGCTACTAAGTGCTCCCACTCAGTCTAGACTAGACCCCTGGAAAACACGCTGTACCAGGGAGCAACGCTTATCATGTCGAGGCATCAACAGCCCAAGAATGCACCCTTTGTGCTCAGGAGTCGCATGCAGAGCCTGGCCACACGCACCAACTAACGATGAGGTTTAAAGAAGGCGCTATACAGAGCCATCACATACCATACCACTTAGTGGGGCAAATCCACACGATAGTGGCTTTTCGTTGCCTGGCGTCACATGATAAGAAGGCAATGGTAAGAACAAACACATGTACTCACTACACTGTCAATAGAAATAATCCTTTTACCACCACAAGCCAGCCGTCTCGCTTCCAACGCCACTGGATGCACGCACGGATACCGATGAGATATTTTGGATATTTAGATATCCGGAAGCCAGTAGTTCTGTTGTCTATGCAGATAAGCGGCTCTCGAGACCGCTGCGGCACATGATTGCAAATGAGGCCGTTTCAACACGGATAATGTCTCGTCTCGGAGGGAGGGAGGGGGGCGAACTGAAACGGCAGTCACCTCGAATACATTCACACGAGATCGCTGCATAACTGCCTCGCCTGCGAACTTTGGTGGGAAAGCGTCCCTCAGGTCGTATAAAGTGACATCGCGCGCCCGGAGGCATGTATAAAATGGCGCAAAACGAATGCAAATGCAAGGCAGTCACAAAACATGACGCAATGAGCTTGAACCAAATGCATGGAAACATTCCTAGCAAATGCTTGACAACATCTTACTCGACTACTCTTGCGGTCGAGTCTTGACATGTTTGTTTGAAAACTAGCCCGCACTTTCTGGCAAAATTAAAGCGCGGTCGTTTTGCTTAATGACTGACGATTGAGAGCTGCAAATATGTGGCAGATTTTCGGGGATTTCTGGATGAATCAATTCAACATTTTGAAATGAAATTGCAGTGATTAATATTGCAATCTTAAATTCGTGGTGAATTTCACAAATATCTCCAGCATTGATAGCGATTCTGATCTACGACTGAAAATCATGATACATTAGATACCTTCGTGGTGGCATTAATTACCAATATTTTTGTGAAACTCATGGCAAACATGTCACTGTTTTTGTTCCAATACATGCCTAAAAAAATAAATTAGTCAAATATTGTAAATGACTTGCAAGTCACGGCAAAAGCATCATTTACTGCACCACATACGTCGCCGAACTTCACTAGAGCTGGTATAACTATAATAGCTTTTGCTCGTAATCTTTTTGACAAGTTGGTACGCAGAGGCTAGGCGGCAGTCTTCAAAGGGGTCTGCGATATTGAGGGTAACCAGCCGAGGACAAAATTTGATTACAGCGATCCTGTCATGTTAAATGTTTAAAGGCGTTCGAAACAGGGAAACAATAAAAGAGACATTCGGTTAACTGCGCTGTAACGCACATGACGTCAGTCGCTTTTCAGGGCCACAACATGATTCGGTGGTACTCTCTACCTTTTTCGCCAGTTGAATGAAAGGCACGCCTACCACATCTCCGATAAGAGTCGTTGCATAACGCAGGAGCCGGACGAAAACGTCTATGATGTCGTACAGCAATTGACCAAGACAGATTTCCGAGTTTTCTCTCGAAACTTACAATCTGACCTTTCCGCCTTAGATAATGCTGCCTCCAGTTGTAGATTTTTCCCCATGACCAAGTAAGAAATAAGGCAGGAACAATCGCCAGCTCCGAATGCCTTCCAGTTTTCAGAGAATATCTGAGCCAGGCATCCGTTTTCCACGTAGCTTCCCAAAATAGTGTCGTCCTCCCGCGGCAGCGACCTATCTTGGCTTTGAGAACAAAATGCTCAGCTTTGCTGACCTGAGCTAACACCTGACTGAGGCTGGTGAACAGTTTTGGTTCGAACATTCGCCGTGAAATTGCGAACCTAAAGCGAGATTCTTCAGAAATAATCGGCGTTTTTTTTTTGCTTCTTCACTGTTACTTGGCCTACGAGGGAGAACGTTTGTCCCTCTGGGGTGACATCGATCAGATCCAGGGACGTCATAACAGGGGCAGCCGCCAGCTTCTTTTCATTTACAGATCAGGAGATGGCGTCCGCAGCGTTCTGACCGATCTGAAACAGTTGGCCCCGTTGCTACTCTCCTAACCTGCATCTATCGTGGTTTCGAGTTCCACGGGACCAATCGCTGCCCAACCATAAACGGTCTTGACGGCTGCCTTATCGTCGTAGGCTCTGCTCCCATGTTGATGCATGCTGATAAATACAGACATCGCTCCTTCACTCATGTCGACCAATATGTCGACTGCAGCTTTCTCAAGACGAGCATAGCGTCCTGAAGAAGCTGCAAGGCGAAATATACTTATTCCTTTTTGGGGCCTTATTTTTATTGCATGAGCATTAAGATTAAATCCATCTAACACTTAGGTACGCAGAATAGCATACGCAAGCTGCAATGAAACTAAGTTAAAGAACCTCAAAAATTGCCTGGAAAAATAGCATGATTATCCTAAAGCAGCAATGACGACCAGTTCATTCAGCAAGCACAATCTGGTCACGATGTGGTTCTGAGCAAAACGCAATGTACTGGCCTTGTGGGTACGCGAGGAGCCTGTGCTCAGACACATCACTGTCTTCAAGCCTGGATAATTTCTCCCCGCCGCGGTGTAAATCATGTCGTAGTCATGTCAGTCATGCAAGTTTGTTGGCAATGTTCGTTGGGTCGTTCGTGCGTGCACTCTGACCCGCACGCACACAGGATCACACACCATCTCTGCACTGACCCGTTACGCTGCATATTTTAGGCTGGCATGTTTAAGTTGTGTTTCTCTTTATTTTCGTTCCCAAGTCCCATGGCTGCACATTTACATTTGCATTCAACTGCGTTTGTTTTCCGTATTGTTATGCGTTTAAATGTGGGTTTTCCGCTCGCCCCCCCCCCCCCCCCCTCTCGTCCGTGACAACATGTCCATACATTTGTGTGTCATTTCATTGCGCCTAACTGTCCATTTCCATGTATCTGTGAGTGACATCTCTGGTGGCAATGCCAAGCAAATAATAACTTAAGTTCAGTGAGCACTACTCGGCAGAGATCAGTTGCTTTTTGTAATGGTAACCAGCAGGATATTAATGTTCGAAGCAATGGCTACTATCAGATGCCAGGAAAATGCATGCAGCTGCTTGTGATCAGCTATGAAAATATCACGCAGCTGCTTGTCAGTACTTTACATAACCGTCAACCCCTCGCGATAGGGCAAGCAGATTCCGACGTTTGCGGTTGCATTTATAAACACAAGTTACAATACAGTAATCCCCATACATGCTGTTACGCCATAAAAAATGTCCTGAAGTTGGAAATAAGCACTGTCTGTCTCCCTTCCAACAATGTTTAAGCGCTGGCCCACATCATGCATACGTGACAACAGCTGCTGCATACAACCATGCTAGGATATGTGTTCTGTGGTATAAAGAACATTGTGAAAGCCGAGTTGCTATGCGTAATTTGAAAACGACACCGGAGAGCACCGGCTGGTCTCTCCCGAACTGCAACTCACCGAACAACAGAAACAGTGCCAGGTGATTTTATGTGGCGAAAAGTGTTCAAATATCTACGTGTCGGCATTACCCCTCCCCTCCCCCCTCCCCCCGCTGGCATACTAAGCATTCTACAGAGCATATATAACTATATGGTCCGTCCGAAACACAGAACGGTTTTGGTCAGCAAACTGTCCAGGGAACGGTAAGCGCGACCCCGCGACCTAGGCTGACCCCGAGTCGCCCTGAGCGGGAAGTGAGCTTGCCAGCCAGTTTTAGACAACGTCTTGTGGGCGACGCGATAAGTGAAAGGTCTGTCAAATCGTGTCATGCATGCATTGGGCCTGAAACTTTTAAGTTCAACCGTCTCGTTCTTATGATTAACGTTCTTAACCAACCGCTAAGGAAAAACGGGCTCTTGTCTGACCCGTGTGCTTACATGTTGCAACTTAAAAACGGCGTAAGTTGCAGTCTCACTTCAGGGAGCTGGTCACTAATGCGCCTACCCGGGTTGGGAGGGGGGGGGGGAAGGACTGACCTGAGTTGGTCGCTGTGGTACGCCGCGTCAGCTCCATCACGATTCGAGTGTAGCAGAAGACGATGACGAGCAGAGGTATGGGATACATGAACAAAAAGCTGGAAATGTTGTAGGTCGTCTCCAGAGCAGGGTGTGGAAAGGCGAAGAAGCTGACGCACTGGATGAAGTTGAGGTGTTTGTAGCGTGGATCTGGATGTCTTTCCACGTGGAAGACAAGGATCTGTGAAATAGAGCGACAGCACATCAACCACGAGCTCCAGCAGGCAGATATTGCGTCGATCGCATTCCTAACACTATTACAAACGTCGTTGTCACATATTCTTTGGTTATCGAGGTCAGCAATCGAGGGTTATGTCAAAAACAACGAGCGCTAGGGCTACGCAAAAGGCATTAGAAAGCTCTCGCCAGATCGCATCGGGTGTGTACTACTGAACGCTGGTAAAAGAATTTGTTATATGGTTTAATGAGATCATATGAATAATGTTAGCGCTTGACCATTGAAACTGCATTGTTATACCAAGACCTCGACATGCTGTGACATGCAGGAAAACGGCGATGAATAATTCTTGGAGCACTATCAAGTGGACAGGCATCGGCAGGTGTACATGATATCTATCATATCAAGTCAAAGGTGTGAATGTCGATGCATTCGCGTTTGCCGCTATATCAAATACTTGACAAGCCACATGGCATCATTATCGATATATTCGATACAAATATACAGTAAACCACACTAATTAAAATGCGGTGAAATAATAGCATATCAATGGCACAAGCTGTCATGCGCTTGGTACACACTAGCCCAGTTACAGGCGCTTTTTCAAGCCCATGGAGGTTGTAAAAATAAATAAACACGTTTACAAGTCCTCTGGGACTCTCACGGAGTGTCCTAGCTTTCGACCAATTTCAATGGTCTTGTATTGCTAAAATAACCGAACGTCTGTTTCGCGAGCAGCTTTATTCTGATTTGGTGAACATCAGTTCCTGTCAAACACACGGCACGGATTTAGCAGACGTCGTCCAACAGAAACAGCCCTATCTCACATCAATAGTCCGATCTTCCGTGTCATGGGCCATGGTGAAGCAAACCTTTTAGTTCCACTTCACCTGAGCAAATGTTTCCCTCGTCAAAGGCTCGTAAAGCGCCTATAACTGGGCTAGTGTGTACCAAGCGCATGACAACTTGTGCCATTGATATGCTATTATTTCACCGCATTTTAATTAGTGTGGTTTACTGTATATTTGTATCGAATATATCGATAATAATGCCATAGGCCATGTCAAATTAGTCCAGAAACTTAAACTATATCGGGTGAACTCCGAATGGTTTAAAAGCTATCTTTTTATTTCCAGTATGTACGCCTGCACTTCCCACAGCACTGCGTGATGAACTCCAGCCCAGTTCGAAATGCAGTTGGAGTGAACCAGGAAAGGTCACTGAGGCTATCGCTTCGCAACATCTTCTCAAACGACATCAGCTCGCACATTGTAAGCGACGTCGCTGCCGTGCAATATGTCGGTGCTATACAATTTATTGTTGTGGGGAGAAGACGTGACCTCACTGTACTTAATGGATGGAGAGTGCATTGTGCACTCCACATCAATGGTTCCGTCAAACTTGATGAACTGCAGCTTGATTACATCCCAACTGATGACGTTAGGCACGCCCCGAAGATATCGGAATGTGCCTTCCGTCTCTCCGTCAACAACACCATCATTAATGAGAGTCATGGTGCAAAAAGCTTGGGCCCGGTAATGGATCGAGAGCTGATGTTGAGCCACACATCGACCACTTTGTAGCCCAATGCATAGGCCTCCTTGGTGGTCTCAGACACGCAAAACACAGCTTCCGAAAGACACACTTTCTACATACTTTAGTTAACGTACTGGCACTTCCAGGAGTTCAGCGATGCAACAACGTCTATGGTAGCTGCAACGCCAGGTTCATAAAATGCATTAATAAATTATCAACTGTAGCGTGCATGGGCTACCACAGGACGACGCAAACACGATCATATGATCGATGTGCTTCGCATGCTCCACTGACTGGCTGCTCGTCGCCTCGTGAGTTCTCAGAAACCAAGAGAACTAGATGTACCATGTGAACAGGATGCGTTGGCCCTGTGTGAACTCACTTCTGTTAAAATTCGGGGTTCCTAGGTCATGATCTTCGGATCAAATAGGGTCAAACAAGGTCAAACTCCATATTGGTGTCCAAAGTGTCCCCAGAACCTAAATACCTGTTCTAAGCAAAAGGTCACTGGTGCTCATTCAAGGTCGGTGACCTTGTTGGACCTTTCGCAAGTCATGTTGACTAAACTCATACAAGGCTGCTTTGAGTTTTGCATTTAAATAAACGTCAAAGATTACACTAAGCAGTGTATTTCTAAAAAAAATATGTTGATCTCCGCCATTTCAGGCCATGACGTATTCTGAACTTTAAAAAGTCCAGGGGAGATGTATAGTGAGGCTCCGGTTAATAATACATTCAAAATGAGTACCAGAAACGGCCTCATACAGCAAGCTCAAGGCTAACAAACGGGCTAGTTTTGTCTTTGGTCTGACCTTCATGCCTGACCCTAGGTCAATGGATAGTTGTTCATTCAACTGTTGGGAAACCTACGAAGCTATCTCAGGGGTGTATGGCTTGGTCTGACACTCCGTTGTTGCATCAGATTGAACGATTCCTTAGAAATGGTCTTCGTTCAGTTCATGGCCTGACTTTGATAGTCCAGCGACCTCACAAGGTACATCTAAATTTTTACACCAAACGATTTGTTATTCAGGTGTCTACAGCTATGCAAAATGGGCGCGGCTTCTCGGCGCAGCACGGACAGCATTCTGGAAAACCTTCGGGGGTCAAATTGACCCTCAGCCGAGCGCGTGTTATGTTGGCCAAACATACGCGTATGCCACGTAACGCATTCCAGGATATATACAGCTGTGTGCAGTGGCAGCCTCCAATCACCGTGCATGAGTCTGCAACGGCATCCGAAACAAGAAATCCATTGCTGCGATTAATCTTGTACAGGAACTGTAGTTTGACCTCGAATTATGTCCGGCCTGGATTGAGCAAGCATCAACTTGTGGAACACAATTTTGCCAGAAATCTGGAGCTCGACTGCAGCGTGCATGAATTTTTCACCTGACCAGGTGCGACTTGCACAGCTGATAAGTGATAGCGTCACAATGAGCTTGACATATCCGAGGATTAGAAACAGCCGAATAGAAGTACGCTAGATACAGCCGAAAAAAGGCTGCATGAGAAGAAACACCATTGGAAACCTAAAAATGCCTACCAGAGCGCAGCTTTGCGATGTTATCTTGACCTGACGCGCGACCGGTCCGGAATCCCCGAAAAAAGGGCATTGACACGTGCATATACATCCTCCTCCGTTAGGTCGAAAATTGCGTTCTAGAGCACGGGCAAGTTCTTCCTTTAGTCTTTTCAACCACACTTTGTCAAAAATACGCTGAATAGCCTTCCAAAGTTGGGGTGACCGAACCAATGCCTCAAGTATTATTCCCGAAAGACAGAATGATGGACTCGATACCGACTGTTGAAGCATCCCGAAACGAGGGAACGCGCAACCTCTCTCTGAAGCTTATTATGTCAACGCAGAATTCGACCCGTGTCGAATGTGTGCGCCGATGCAGAGGGGATGGGCCTGTGCTCAACCGGCCCATCTTGTTCCTAGGCCTGTGACTGGGGAGACGGCACACAAACAGTCTGCTGAAATGTGGCTCTGCGCGAAACTACCGCACGCCTTCTGCCCGGACAAAGCACTTAACTTTACGCCACTGACGGGCTTAGAGCATCTCGATTAGCTCGTTTGGCGAGACGTGAGCAGTTTATCTAGCGCCCTGCGAGTGCGGCGCCTTCATCTCCGGCGCGTCGGGCCGCGCGACCTCCCGCGCGGGCTGCGGGCAGCCGTCGACCACGCCCGTCACGGCAACGTTCGACGATCGCCTACGCTTGGGGCACGTGTCTGGCGGGCTGCGGTGTTTATGCCGCGCCCACCGGGTGACGTCTCGAATTTCCGATCACGGGACGTGTTCGCGCCACACGCCTAACGAGGCGTCCATCACGCCTTGACACCCGGCGCACCCCGCGGTCTGCACGGACGGTGCGCGGGCTGTTGTTCAGCTCCGATTGCACGTCAATTGGCAGATGAAGTATGCTGCGTAAAAATAGGCCTCACGTTCAGTTATGGTGATAGATGCGTAACAAGGTGGTATAATGAACGCGATGGTGTTCGCAGTTGTAATCGGAGCATAACATGCGTCACTGCTGGGGGTGCACGAGGTATCGGTATCAAGCGCTTTGCAGAACCGGCATTGGCCAGGACTTCTTCAGTACACAAGTGCAGGAACTAATGCAGGAGCATTGGCACTAGTCAGTACCAGACGGCACCATGAGTCCCAGGGGCTGAAAATAGGACGTTTTCTGTCACCGACGGCATTTGGAACAGCCTGAGCTGTCGCCTGGACCCAAATATATCAGAAACCGTCGCAATATAACTACAAGTACGATAAACCACACAAAGCAAAGCTCACTGAAGTGCGATAAATCATAAACATCGGAAATATTTTCGTTTGGGAAGGTTCATTTGCACTAAAGCATCATTTGATCACCATGCGATAGCACCGATGGTTAAGGTGTAGGTCTTATTGCACGAGTGGTCGGCGCAGCGGGCAGTTAGTGAGCACATTGGTTCGGTTCAATCCTAGGACATTGCATGTACGGAGAAGGGTGAGAACATGCCTTGTCAGTGGCCGCATCGCAACCATCAATGGCAAGTAATAAACCCCACGCACTATCTCACGACATGCTGGGGCAATACCAGTGTTGGAGAAAGAGCTTTAACAAAATTTAATCCATCTATAAAAATAACCACTATTTTGCTACCAGTTTTACACTCTTTGTATGCCACGAACTACGTTACCTCAAGTGGTATTACCGTAAGTGGTAAAAATTTTATATTTTTCACATCACATCACAGTCACTTATGTCTATAACTGCAGTGTTTCAAATTAAATTTCACAGTTTTCAATAATGCTCAAGATTCAGATTTTTGGCAATTACAATGCACGTCTAAGAAATCTTTACTGTAATCCAGATCCACCGGCCAGAAATTCCTCACTGGATAACCTATTTCATGGCCTGGGCCACAGGGATGGCAATTGAATGTCTGCGTAACGAGCCGTGCGTAGCGAAGT